AATATATATATATATATATATATATAATATTTTAAAATTATCATAATATTAACCTATTTAATTAAGTTCATATATTATAATTTTCATTTTAGTGTCAAATAATATATATTCATATGCACAAATAAATAAATTTTATATATTATTAGTATTATAATATTATTGAAAAGAGACTAAAATCACATAATTGCCGTATTTAGGAAATTAAAATTATTTAATTAAAAATTAAAAGACAATAAACTACTAGGATCAATTTAGTGATGGAACGTTTTGGGTATTATGCCCATGGTTCCCTGATGGATAAAAAAAAATTGAGAGACAAAATTATACAACTATATAATACTTTAGAAGCTAAAATCATTCAATTAAAATTTAAAAAACTAAAAACACACATCCATAATAATAAACTTTAGCAACAAAAATGCACTTAAGCCTTATAAATATATTATATAAATTTAATATTTATTGTATATTATTTAATTTTTGTTATTCGCCCTAATGAGTTGGAAGTTTGATCACTTCGTCCTTGCTTGTGTTCACCACAATATTATATTAATTAACCTAAAATGGACATACAGTAAATTATCCCAAATATTGGGCTAATTAATTAGCAAGACTTGCTCTCTGAGACTGTGCAGGGTGGGTAAGAAAACCTAAATGCCCTTCGGACAGAAGACAATGTAGCAGAAAATTTATTGAACTAGACAATGATGTCTCAGTTAATAATCCCCACAATTCGATGTCTTGTTAGAGCATATCCAGTGGGGTTGATTATAAGCAACCCCTGTGTCACATTACTGCTACATCAGCTCTGGTCCATTTTATAGGTTGTTTAAATTTTAGTAAAATAAACAACTTTACTAAAATTTAAGTAATCTATAAAGTGGACCAGAACTGATGTGACAGTAATATGATATAATGATTGCTTATAAGTAACCCCTACTACAGATGCGCTCTTAGAAACACAGTAGAGCGATATGATTAAGGTTGACACTGAAGTTCAATAAAATAAAGGCTTCATGATTCCTAAGAGCTGTTATGTATTAGGTACTTGAAGAAAGATTTGTAGGTAATAATATACTATCCTTCTGCAATTTCTTTTGCAAATGTCTCTGATATTCGTTGTAACACCCCGAAATTTCTACTATTACAATATCAATTATTATCTATTTTTATATATTTATGAGGATTATTTTTATAGTTATTTTAGTTAATTAAAAGGGATTTTTATAGAATATTTTAGAATTTTGTAACAATTTAAATTATTTGTGAAAAGTTTTATAAAATTCTGTTTCTTTACGCTGGAACGGGCTGTTCCGAAAGTGGAACGGGCCGTTCCAGACAATGAAAATAAACTGTTTTTGAGGAAGCAGAACGGGCCGTTCCAAATGTGTAAAATGGCCTATTTGGGTTTTTTCGGAACGGGTCGTTCCCAAAGTGAAACGGGCCGTTCCGAAATTCTAAAAATGCCTAAAAAGTTGAGTTAGAAACTTGGCGTTCCGATTAAGGTCAATCTGTGTAAAAATGTACTCCAGAACGGGCCGTTCTGAATTTAGAACGGGTCGTTCTGCTTTTTGAAAACGGGCCGTTCTGATTTTGGAACGGGTCGTTCCAATTGAAAAATTTGCATATATTCAAAAGATCCGGAACGAGCCGTTCCGAAATCAGTACGGGCCGTTCCGGGTGCGCCAGGATGCCTATAAATAGGGGCAGGGGGTGAAAATTTTATACTGAATAAGAAAGTGAAATCTTAGAGAGAGAAAGAAAGAAAGAGAGAGAGAGAGAGAGAGAGAGAGAAAGAGAGGGAAGGAAAGAGGGAATCCAGAGGAGGAGGCCATGCCCAAGTTTCAACTCCACTTATCCAGGTAAGGGGAGAAGTGAGAACCTCGCTCGGGGGTGTGGGGATAATTGTTGGATGGTTTGATTGTCGGATTGGCCCTCAATCCCTTGCCGTTGTTCTATTTTATTTTCTGTTTGTTATGTTCTGTTCCTCGTTGGAAATAATAAATGACTATGTAACCCCAATCCCTTGCCGTTGTTCTATTTTCTGTTTGCTCTGTTCTGTTCCTCGTTGGAAATAATAAATGATTATGTAACTTCAATCCCTTGCCGTTGTTCTGTTTTATTTTCTATTTGTTCTACTTTGTTCCTTGTTGGAAGTAATAATGAATATATAATTAATGTTAAAAATAAATGTTTTAATATGAATAAAGATGCTCTCTGTGAATTCCTGTGCGGACCTTATGAGAAGTATTTATGACATGACCATGTGAAATATGGACAAATGACATGAGACCTAAGGATGGACTATTGAGACAAGTTGTGATTATGAGAACATGAAAAATGATGACATGATGTACTTAATGAAATTCTGTAATAAGTCAAATGTTGAGTTAATGAAATAATGAATGTATGACATGCATCATATGCATATATTATTCCAGGTGTGCCGCTGAGGCCGCATACCAGTGATGTAACTTGCTAACAAGGTGTACCTTAGGGTCACCAGTGATGTAACTTGCTAACAAGGTGTATCTTAGGGTCACCAGTGTTTTATTAATGAAGTGCCTCGTTAAAAACCTTGCCGACCCAAAAACCCTCCTTAGGGAAAAAATAGTCGGTCAAGGAAAAGAGTGCACCATTACATCAGCTGTAATACATCTTTAAGTGTGTCGAATTCCAAGTCCTAGGAATAGGTTCTCCTGATAGGTATTCTAGCTTGAAAGCTCCATTGTTTAGGTTGTGTCGGATGCGGAATGGTCCATCCCAATTTGGGGCGAGCTTCCCCTGTCTCGGATCTTTTCTTGCTTCACCTGTGGCTCTCCAAACGAGATCTCCTCCTCGAAATTCTCTTGGTTTCACCCTGCTGTCGAATCTTCGCTTGTAGCGTTGCTTGGTGGCCTCGGCCACGACTAGCGTCGGTCACAAACCTCTTCTACCGTGTCCAAGTTTGTTCGGAGTTCAGCTTCGTTGCTTGCTTCGTCTTCTTCTCCTCCTCTTCTCCGGGAGTTCAGATTCTTCTTCTCCGAGGTAAGGGAAGTTAGTTTTCGTGCGGATTGGTTGTAAATGAGTGTGGGAACTCAAATGTTGCATGATTTTAGAAGATTGATGGTTGGATTGGAGAGTTCTTTGTTTTCGGGGTTTTGGGAAAATTGGGAAAATGGGGATGCTTATGTGTTTGATGGTTTCATGTTGAAAAAGAGATGGCTTTTGAGTTGCATGTTGTAAATGTAGTTCATTTGATGGATTGCATGTGTTTGAGTTGACTGATTTTGCAAGTTTTGCGTGAAATTTTCGAAATGGTGAGGGTTACTGTTTGAAATTGTGTCGAGCGTAGTTCTTGGCACCGGGCGTGTGTCCATCAGAGAGCTTCATTGTTCAAGCACGTCGGGTTTAATAATAATAAATCCAGAGGAATTTATTTGAGAAAAACAATTTATCAAAATCTCTTACAAAGTTTTTTATGAAATATAATCTACAATGTTTTTGTTTTTGCAAATTTTATTATGATTTTAGTAATTATAGAATTTTTTTTCATTATAAAAATTTGCAAAAAATGTTGTAAATTATTTTTATTAAATTCGCAAGTAATATTTGTTAGTATTATAATAAATGGAAGAAAAATTTCATAAGTAACTTTTCTTTACAGATTTTCTCACTAATTTTAATCCTAAGGAAAATTAAAAAAAATTGTTTAAATTTATACATTTAAAAATTAAAAGTTTTTAATTAAATATTAATATTTTATTAAATTATTTATAAATATATGATTATAATTAATTTTAATTTTAAATTTTATTAAATTAAATATGTAAATTATATAAATAGGATAAATTTAATGATAATGAATTTTAATTTAATGATAATTTATAAAATTTAAAAATGAAAAGTATTTACTTAGCAAAATATTATTTTACTAACTTATTTATAAATATTTCAACAAAGTTAGTTTTAATTTAAAATATTAGTAAATTAAACATTTATTTTAATTAAATGTATACATTAATGATAATGAATTTTAATTTAATGATAGTTTTTAAAGTAATTTTTTTAATAAAAATATTTTTTTTTAAAATATTGAATATTTGAAGAGTTAATATAATTTAGTATAATATAATACGAGAAATTTTAATAGTGGTGTATTAGCATATAAAGTGTTCACTTTTGAATATGATGGCATAAAATAGTCAGATAAAATGATAAAGGAAAATGATTTGAATAATGGGCATTGGATTCCATATAATACACCAATATTGTTAAAGAAAACCAGTGTCCCACGCAGTATGCTGGGGGGCTTTTTTATCTCAATCTTTAAAATATAGAAAGACTATCTTTTTTTTTAAATTTTTTTATTTATGTACAGATCGATACATGTGTTCTTCATTCGAAGTAATCGGACAAAATTACTATGTTTAAATATCACAATGCATGATATAATAAAAAAAACCATCTTTGTTTTAAATATGGATAATATTTTTTTATTTGAGTCTATAAAGCTTTAGATCCATGTTCCGTATATGCTCCTAGCTCCGAGTTTTCAATCTGTTTAATCATCTTTAGCTTTTCCTTTGTGACAAAAGCCAACTGCCCCCTTACCTCCAATGTCCCCATTGTTCCTTCACAAATTTGCTTATGCTGGAATCTCCCTCCAACTATTAAACACCCTGAATAGTTTTGATTATACTATCACTGTTTGAATTTGATTATGCTCTTTTTTTTAGTGCATTTGACCTGGATTATGCATGAGTCAAATTTCGTATCCTTTAGGAAAGTAATAATATTGATGTGCTGCAGAGTTTTTTACAATTATTATCATAAAATGGTATATATGCTACTTAATTAATTATTTCCAAAAACCTATATCAGGGACTAAAAGAAAAATTCAAGAAAACAAGTAAGGCATTTGATCAAGTGTTCGATGAAATCATCGAGGAGCATGAAGACCCTTCTTATAAAGACAAGAGAAATGTGCACTCTAAGTACTTTGTGGACATATTGTTGTCACTTATGCACCAACCCATGGATCATCATGAACAAAAGCATTTCATTGATAGAACTAACATCAAGGCTATTTTAATGGATATGTTTGCTGCATCATTTGACACTTCTGCTGTTGCGATTGAGTGGGCTATGTCAGAACTCCTAAGGCACCCAAGGGTGATGAAGAAACTTCAAGATGAGTTAACAAATGTAGTGGGAATAAATAGGGTGGTGGAGGAGTCTGACTTAACAAAGTTGTCATATTTGAACATGGTAGTGAAAGAGACCTTACGGTTGTATCCGGTTGGACCCTTGCTAATTCCTCGTGAGTCCTTAGAAGATATCACAATTAACGGATATTTCATAAAGAAAAAGTCAAGAATTTTAATCAATGCATGGACAATTGGACGAGATCCTAAGGTTTGGTCAGATAATGCTGAGATATTTTATCCAGAGAGATTTGTGAACAACGATATAGATATTAGAGGACATGACTTTCAACTTATACCATTTGGTTCTGGCCGCAGAGGATGTCCTGGGATACAATTGGGTCTAATTACTTTTAGTCTTGTTCTGGCTCAATTAGTGCATTGCTTCAATTGGGAGCTTCCATCTGGTATCTCTCCTAATGACTTAGATATGACTGAAAAATTTGGTCTTTCCTTACCAAGAAGTAATCACTTGTTAGCAGTACCATCTTATCGCCTATTGAATACAGCTTAACTGAAGCTTCAAAATCTTGGGAAATTATTTCACCAATCGAATAAAGTTTGTATTTTATCTCCATTGTATTTTTCTTGATATGGATTGGTGATGTATGCACTCGACTTCCTTCTTGCTTGAATTAGATCAGACCTAGGAGATTAGGATGATCTTGATGTTTATGTTTATGTGGGAATCATTGTAATATATTGATATTATCTTATTACCAATGATGGTCTTTAATGCGTCATATACACTTATGTATTTTGCTTGCATTTTATTTTCGTATAGAAAAGTCCTTCTTGTGTGTTTCATCTCAACACATTTGATCTTTTAAAAAATAGAATAGTCATCCGAATATGATGAAATTAAGATGATTTTTCGTGAAATTTGCCTTCTCTATATTTGTTCAACCTATAAAAATGGGACAGACATCTCGTAATTAAATATGATTCGAAGTGCAATACTTACATATCAAACAAAACACGACAAATATACAGCAAACATCATGAACGTAACTCATTATATTTAATCCCAAGCGAATAGTCAAGACTCGAGATCAAATAGATACCCATGATCATAAGCTACAAGTCATGCCCAAGGTTTTTTATTTTATTTTTTATTTTTTATTTTACTATTATTTAGGTCTAATATAAATTTTCAACTTATATAAATTAAAAACAATAAATTTATTATATTTCTATAATTATTAATTATTAATTATTAATCCTTTTTAGATTACTATTTGTGTGTATATATATATATATCAATATTATATACATATTAAATTATTATTATTATTTTAAATTATAAAGTAAAATTATTTGTAACTAATTGTTTTCAAATTTCTAAATTGTTACATTTACAAAATAAGAATGTCATACGGAATTAATCAGAAAATTCCGTTAAATATTTTTTGTTATCTTAAATATTTATTTTTTGTTTTTAATTTACGTTGTTATAAAACCCTCAATTAGCACATAAGAATATTTTGACAACTCCACAAAATATAATGTAAAAAATATTTAAATTTATCAAATATAAAAAGAATAAGCTTTAATATATTATTGATAAACATAAAATTTTAAATAATAAATATTAAAAAAAATCTCTATTGTAGTTAGAAAGGAGAATAGGTTAAACCTATAATAAAAATGTCAAGTTTAAATTATTTAAAAAATTATTTATTTAGAAAAATTAACTTTAGGCTTACAAAAAAAAAATTAACTTTGATAAGTTAACCTATCTATCTATATGATATAATAAAAAAATGCTATACATATTGCATTTTAAACAATATACTTAAATAAAAATATAATAAAAAAATTAAATTAATTATTAATATTTTGGACATTTCTAATAATGTAATAAAAAAAATTAAATTATTAATATTTTGAACATGTTTACTAAACTTATATACTTTGCATTCCCTATTCGTACGAAATCAAAAAAATAAAAAATAAAAAATCTAACAATCGCATTTTTGTCAACTTTTTTCCTTCATCTTTATGTTGATTATTTAGAATATTTTAAATGAAATATAGAAAATATTTATAAAAAAAAAACTTTTTTAATAAGATTATTTTATTTCATCATGGTCAACATGAGAGTATGTTATTATATATGAGTATGTATGAGTTATCCCTCTTACATTAATTTTTTTTTATTTCAAACTCTAAATTTTAATAATAGAATAAACTAATTTTTTATCACCCAAATTGAAAGAAGACTCATATACCTATTCAAAAATAGATTGTTGACTTATTTAAAATTAAGTTTATTAGTCAACTAGTGGCGTTGAAACATTTCACGTCTCTATTTGTTTAAAAGTATTTAAAAGTAATCCATGTTTGTTAAATCAACTGATGATGCGTCTAGTTTTGAATATTTTCTGAAATAATATTTTTTTTTAAAAAAATCTATTACACATTATTTACCCAAATAGACCTCTTTATTGTTCACACTCAGAGAACTGAATTCTGAGCAGTGTTAATTTTTTTTTTTTTGCGTTTTAGTTTCTGAGAAAGAGGAAAACTTGATTCAGAACGGGCCGTTTTACAATTAGAACGGCCCGCTCCAGATAAAAATATACACATGACAAATGGATCAGAATAGGCCGTTCTCCAAGGAATGCAAGCAAAAAGGAGAACGACCCGTTCCAATTGCAAAATTGACACATTCCTGAACCTAAAACGAAAAAAAAATTTAAACACTATTCAGAATTCGGTTATCCGGGAACCGAATTTCGAGCACACAAAAAAATAACACTGCTCAGAATTCGGTTCCCCAGAAACCGAATTTTGAGTGTGAACAGTAAAAATGTCTATTTAGGTAAATAATGTGTAATAGATGTTTTTTTGGTAATTTTTTTTAAATATTATTTAAGAAAAAAATTCTGTTTCTCAAACTTCAAAGTTTCAAATTCGAGTTTTAGATTTATAAGAATAGTTAATTTTTAATATTATTTTTTATTATTTAAAAATTTATGAGTAAAATAGTCCAAAAATTATGTATACGAAAACAGAAAATTGCTTTTATATATAGATATAGATTTAACATTATTAATGTAAAATAGACTTTTAAATAAGCTAATTAGTTAGATCAGATTTTTTTAAAAAGTCAAATTAGACTTATAAAAAAATTATGAGAAATAACAGGTCAGACTTATATTTTAATTTTATAAAATAATTCAGTTTATATATTCAAAATCTGACCTATTATTATCTTTAATTGTGGTCTCATAATAAAAATACAATTGATTTTTTTTTATCTCATGTCATGTTAAGATGTCAAAATGAGTCAATCCATAGTGAGCCAACCCATATGAACCAAGTTGACTCATTTAGACACCTCTAATATTAATTCAAGTGAATAATGATCTAATACAATTAAAAAAGAGTGTCGTATAGTTATACATATAGCTTAAAAGGTTTTTAAAAGGATTTAAATGATGTTTATAAAAAACCATAAAGCCAATTAAATTTTCTGCAACGTTAAACAAAAAATAAATCCTAACCATCAACCCAAAGAAACATAGAAATCAATATTAATAAAATCATTTTGCATGATATTATAAAATCCAGTAAAATCTAAACCCACATATCTTACAAGAAATGATATTTTATGCTAAAGAAGATTTAAACCGGTGCCCCACCAACATGTGAAATTGAATGTCTCATCAATGTGAACTCCCCTTCATTTTGTATCATCTTTATTTCGCATCTCCGATGGAAATAACTCATTTGAGTTGTTCCATGAATTAAAAAATAAAAAAAGTGATCTCTAATGTGTCATATCAACATTAAATAACTCAAACAGAAATTTACTCTAATATAAAAAACTTTAAGAAATTCAACTTTTAGAATTTTTTTTCTAATCATTTATGAACTAAATTTAAATTTTTATTAAAAAGGATAATTGCACTACAATGAAAAAAAATTACGAGAAAAAATACACAATAAGTAGATATTAAAAATAAAATAAAACAATAATAAATACATAAACATTATACGAAATATAAATAACTCATCTAAATTTAAAATATAACTTATATGATTTAAATTATTTAACTATATATATATATATATATATATATGTATATATTCAAATAGATTATTTATTTGTTTATACAATTTATTATAATTTTTTGTTATATATAATAAATATTTAACGGCTACAATACTGGAGTTGCTTATAATTAGAAGAAATGATATTGGATCCTTTTGTTCAAACTTCTAAACAAGTGTTTTTAAAAAAATTTACTTTACAAACAGATAGGAATTGTTTCTTAAAAAAAATAGAAAACTACTTATTTTTAAAATTAAAAAAAAAAGTTTAGACAAATACAAACAATAAATAAACAAAAATGCGTATTTAGTATGTGCATTAAATATTTATTATATAATTAGAATTTAAAATAAATATTATATTAAAATATATATATTTTAAATTTGAATAAATAAATATTTTTGAATATATAAAGTATATTTCATATTTAGGATAAATAATCGATACCTATATATTAAATACAAATATGTACCTTTTACAAGAGTGTTTTCAGACTTCAAGGAAAGAATTTTTAGAATTTTTTTAATTTCTTATCTAATTTCTTATTGATAAATAAAAATAATAACTTTTATAATATAAATTATTTATCATAATTTTATAATATAATTTATAGCTTTAAAATATCTATTTATACAAATTTGAAACATGATTCATACATTCAAACATATCATTTATTTGTACATATAATTTATTATAAATTTTAGTAAAATATTATTTTGTTGGTTACATTGTATTTTTAATTTATCTATTTCATCACTTTGTAATTTTTGTCCTTTTATTTGAAAATAGAAGCATTTAATTTCTCTAATTTTAGAAATACAAAATTTTGATTGTCCTATCAAATTAATATCTATTATTTGTTATATTTTAACATTTTATTTATATCTAAGTGTATGTCACATTTAGTAAAATAAAATATATATTGTATTAGTATGATGTTATTCATCTAATTAATAGGTGTGAGACCCGCAACACCCAAACTCTTTTCTTACTCACTTCCCTTTTCTCTCTTCACTCTCATTTCCTCTCATTCTCTTTTTCCTTTTCTCAAACCTCCTTATGGTGACTGTTGTGATCGTAGGTGCTCAGTAGCTGAGAGCTCTGACTCCTCTTTCCATTTATCTTCTTCTCCTCCTCTTCTCCGGGAGTTCAGATTCTTCTTCTCCGAGGTAAGGGAAGTTAGTTTTCGTGCGGATTGGTTGTAAATGAGTGTGGGAACTCAAATGTTGCATGATTTTAGAAGATTGATGGTTGGATTGGAGAGTTCTTTGTTTTCGGGGTTTTGGGAAAATTGGGAAAATGGGGATGCTTATGTGTTTGATGGTTTCCGGGCGTTTCGGCCACTATACGGTCAACGATCTCGGGTATTTGGGCGTTTCGGCCACCATACGGTATAACAACTAAACTCATGACTTTTTTACACGTAGTGTTTCAACATTGTTGAATTTGAATTATGGTCTTTAATATAAAATAAATTATATTAGAAGAAAGATAGTTATATTGTGTCGTGATCTTAATAAAAATTAATCAACGGTTCTAATAATAGATATTTCTTGTTCATATTATAATATAAAAAATTGATACTTAATTTTGTAAATTTCTTTTGTACACTTTATAGAGAAAATATTAACAAGATAATTGGATAATTTTTCATAAGTATTTATGAAATAAGAAAAAAAATAAGTTTTTTATAAGTTAAAATTCATTTATGTATAAATTAATATATAAAAAAAATCAATATTTGTTTTTAAAAAATTAAAATTATATATAAATTATTTTTATTTTTTCACCTATAAATATTTATGAAGAAAGTATTAGTTACTTCCATTCCTTTTACTTAAGTGCCAAGAATTTATATGTGAGCCTACATTTTGCAACATAAAATCAACTTCAAGTGTTGGTCCTATAAGTCACACTTTGTTTAAAAAAAAAAAAAAAAAAGGTTAAAATTCGTTTCATAAAGTTAAAGCTGAAAATCACCCCTAAAAAATCAGTTTAAACAAATACATTAAAAAAATATATATATACATTTATTTTATTTTAAAAAAAATAAACAACGGCCATGTATCAGAGTTGAGAATAACCCCAAGCGTGTAGTTCAGCGGTAGGGGTTGATCCACGCTTAAGCAAGGTCAGGGGTTCAGTGGATACTCCAGGAACGAAGAAAAAAAAGACGTTGAGAATGCAGATTTTAACACGAAATGACAGATTTTTATTTTAAAAGAAAATGATGTTTATGGTGATTAAAATAAGTTACTTTTATAAGATTTAAAAAAGAAAATTATGATGGAATGACAATCCGAGATATAATTAATAAATTCGTGGCAGTTCAACGGTGGATTATTGCAATAGAGTATAGACTGTCCACAATAGAGCAATAGCCAAGAAATATATGAAATTAAAGTTATCATACATTTTCTTTCGCATATTCTGGAAAAGAGACAATAGTTCATAAGAAATGCTCACCAAGCAAAAACCAGGATGCTCACCCGTTACAGTTGACCTAAGATATGAACTCTGCCCAAATCATAATAACTCATTCCCCTGCAGCTTCATGCAAAAAAATAGAAAGCCATAGAAGTACATTTGAGGCATGGAAAAAGACAAAAATAACATCACTAGTTCTCTTCACAAAACCTACTCCCAATGTCTAATTTCCTATCAAATTTTCCCCACTATCTATACTATCCCTCAAATCAACTCACTACCAGACAAGTTCATAAGCTTAATTGTGATATAATCTTCGCACTTTGTGGATAAGCCTTCGGCATATAGGACACACTTTACTCTCCCCTTCCATAATCCTGCAAAATGCGTTCTAATGTGAATCTCATGAAATGTGTATATGGGTAAATTAAAGCATAAGAATATATTGTGCAGTGAGGTACCTCTGTGCACAGTCATAGCACGTGGCACAATGTCCACAAGGAACAAAGAAGCTGTTGCGTTGTTCATCGTAACAAATGGCACATAATTTTTCATCATATAACTCCTCTGAAGAGCAACTAGATGCTCCTGAATCGTCTTCATCATCTTCTGCATTTGTTCCATGTGACAATCGATTTGTCTCCACTCGCAACATGGGCTCAGTTTCGGTTTGCGTTGCAACTACATTATTTGGTCTGTATGTGTCCACTCTCACTTGATTATTCTGATCATCACTAATACTATCATAGACTCCAAGGAATTTCAGGATCAGATAAACAACAATCATAAGAAATCCTACACATAAAGCAAAATGCGGCACCTTTAGTAACAAGATGAATGATCAAATTAAACCAAGGGCTTTAGAAGAGAAATTTTACCTAAAAGTAATATGTAGACCAACACACGAGCCACTAAAGTAATTTCAACATATCCCCCATCTCCCTGTAATCAATCAATGTAACAATGTGATGTTGAATTACTTTGGTGAAGATAAATGACTCAGACAAAATTAGCTATGCCTTACATCGTTGGTTGCCGTAAGTATAACATATTGAGTATTAGGGAAGACCAAACTAAGCCTACAGGACCCATTTGCAGTGGAGCACATCTTCTTGGCTTTGGTGGTATCATATACCTTTGCCGAAACATTAACTTCCATATTCAAGATTATTTTCCTGGCATTCATGTTTAGAACCCCAATGTGGTATTTATCATCTTCCTCAACGATGTATTCAGCATCTTTACCTAGCAACGTCCACAAAAGTCAAAAACACACCCTGCCCCTCTCAAAATTTCCATATGCCTCTCTATGTGCTAATCATAGATAATTGGGCATAACTCTAGAGAGTAGAATTGAATATCTTTATTTGGTAACGATTTTGTTTTAACTTTAGTAAGTTTTACCACAAAAAAATGCTATTATTTCTATAAAATAAAATTAAGCACACAAGTGTTTCACTTGAATAGTTATAAATTTTTATCAAATTAACTAATGATATGTAAATCATGAGAAATAATTTTTACTTTTTGAACTATCTTGAATTTGAATTAGACTGAAATCTAAATTCTAAGATATTATCAAAATCTATTATAGTATTTAATGTTGAACTTATTGGATAATATTATAAAAATATTATCAAATTATTTGAAGATGTTCAATTTTTATATGAAAAAATGTGTTAGAAATTTCACTCCATTAACTAACTTTTGTATTTAAGTTAGACCCAAATCAAAATCGTTAGAATCAAAATAGAAACTTTCAAAATTGTAAGAATTAGTGTGTGTTTGAAAATCCATTCAAAACTAGTTAAACGCACTTTTTTCACTTTTCGATGCAAAAAAGTTAAAGTAACTCATGTATTGTTTTTGGGTTACGTTCTAACCTAACTGAAAAACAAACACACACTTAGTCACGAAATTGTATGGCTCTAAGGTAGCCTTTGAAGCAAGTTTTAGCTAAAAGTGAAAGATAGAGGAAATCTAGAATCAATTACCAATAACAGTCTGGCGAAGAGCAATTGCATTGGGGAAGCTCGTTTGTTTAGCCCGTAGTAGTTCAAACCTGTTTTCTCCTGCAAAATAAAGATGGTGGTTGAGACTTGAGACAAAGCTGAAATTGATACTCAAAAGAGAAGGAAGAGATAGCCATGAGATTTGCCCTCAAGTGTAAAGTTACCTTTGATAACCATCCCATGTAGCTGATCCAAGTCCAAACTACTAGTAGTGTGCGTTTCCCACCTCATACGCACGGTGGAGCCCTGATTTAACCACAAAGAAATCCCCTGAAATTGAAAAATCAATTTCTTCAAGGCCATTCTCTCCATGACTAGTGCTTTAAAAGTTAAACCAAAGCAAACATGAGGTCATGACAATGTTAATTACCTTGGTTTTGTAGGGTTGAACAAGGAAGAAATTGGAGACGGTCCAATTAGTTTGGGAGCTTAACTCAGGTTTCTGATTGAAGGCATGAAGAATAACTTGATTGTTGTTTCCGTTTGATACATGAAGCTGCTTGACAAAAACGGAGCTGGCCTTGATAAAACGGGAGGAGGCAGGGCCAAGCAGGAGGCGGGAATTGGCGTAATAGCCGTAACGGAGTGTGATTGAAACTGCAAAAGTGAAATGTGTGAGAAAGAGTGGCGAAGGGAGGGGGGAACCATGAAGAAGATGAAAAATTACATGCCACAAATCCAAATGGTGAGAGGAGGCAGCATCCAAGCATGTTGGCTTTGTGTCGTGCGCATGGCTCGGTGTAATAGAGCCATTGGTTCCATTCAACGACCAAGAGTGTACAAGTAAGTAGAATAGATTGGAGTTGGCATCCTCTTTTATCAAGTTAGTCAAGTTCAAGTCTTCAACCGAACGTATTTGAATGGCAGCTATGTTGAACGTTAGCTGCTCCTTATTACTTCTCATATCCTTTTACTATTACTCTACCAATCCTACTGCCTTATACTATTATATTACGTAATTATCTAATTTATCATTCAATAAAATTATAAAATATGGGAGAATCACTTTTTTTTTTTATAAAATATGGGATCCAATATAGAGAAATAAAATTTAATTCACATGATCAATGTAAGAAAAATTAAAAGGAATTAATCATCCGAAAAAGTTATTAACAAGCGACGTCAGTCCGTTCACGTGTATACAACTATGTAAGAAATATGAGCAATGGAAATTAGCAAAATTAAAATGAAGAAATGAACGAAAGCAGAGACTGGCAGACCTAATGTTCAACCGGTAGCAAAACCCAGTAAGATATACCATTGACGTAGAAAATACGGATTGACAAGTAATCCTCAACAACAAAAAGAATATGAGTAAATTAGGTCTCTCTCCTTACATTATTATTATTTTTATGTTAAAATATATAATTTAATGTATTTAATCTAACACTATTAATGTAAATTATATTTTTTTAAAAGATATATTCAAGTAAATTATACTTTTATCTCTTAAGATACAATTATCATATTATTACTTTCTAATTTTAGAGATGTCAAAGTGGATTTTAGTTTATGTGTCAACTTAGTTTATTTTGAAAACGGGTCAAGTTGAGAAAAAAAAAATAAAAAAATTTAATTAATCCAAACACTCAATCTGACTCACTTTCAACTTAGTCCATTCAAGCTGAACATATGGTAAGTCGGACTACTCACTTAATTCATTTACATCTCCCATCAACTCAACTCATCAATAGCTCACTTAATCATTTATTATTATTATTTTAATTAAATTCTTTTTAAGAAAAAGATAAAATTGATCTTACACAACATGAAATTGTGATAGATTTATCTAATTAAGTCTCCAATGAAATTTATATTGATAGACAACTATTTCAATGACAACAATTTTTATTTTTATTTGTTTTGATTATTTAATGTTGTATATTTTTTAAATTAAATTTAATGTTATATGCATAATACTTAGTTTGACAACTTTTATTTTAGATTAAAGCTTATTTTAAATTAAAGTATTTTAAATTATATTTTTTTTTAAATAAAAGTAGATAGATTGGTGGGCTGGCCCATTTAGCCCATCAACTCGTAATGAGTTAAACTGAGTTAAAAAACTTTGAACATTAAAATTGCTAATTCAAATTAGGCCAACTCACTTAAAAAATGGGTTGATATGAGTTAGAACAATAAGACTGTACCAACCCATTTTGAGAGTCATATATTATATTAACTTAACATTACTAGGATAATCATTATAAAATTTTAAAAAATACTTTTAATTTAATTATTTATAAAAATTTATACTTTTAATTTAAATATATTTTAAAATATTTTTAGTTCATTATTATCATCCATTCATTTGATTAAATAATTGTAAAATATATAATTAAATATAATAAATATTATTTTATTATAAAATACTAATTTATTTAAATATTATTAAAATATTATATTAGTAATCTTTAATATATATAATTAATATTATATAATAAAAATACCATTTTATTTAAATACTTATAAATAATATATTGACTAAGAGTGGCGAGATTGAAAAAGACATGCAAGAAAATTTAAGGACTTGGCAATGGCTTCTGGCTTTCTGCTATCACTTTTATTTACTTACGCAATCGTCCTCCATCTTCATCATGGCTTCAAACCACTCAAATCTCAACTTATCTTCATATACAAATTAACCGCCATGCATCTCTTAGCCGTTATTAATGTGACACAGACAAATTCATCTCCTACATTTCCTCCTCTTTGTCGCCACCTTCTCTCAACTTTTTCCTATACATATATATTTATTTGATTAGCTTTGATTTGTATGGAGAGAAGAGGGTGAAACTAATATGGGGAGAGTGAAGCTTGAGATCCAAAAGATTGAGAACACAACAAATAGGCAAGGAGGAATGGTCTTATCAAGAAAGCTTACGAACTTCCTGTTCTTTGTGATGTTGATGTCGCTCTCACCATCGATCTTTTCCCCATCTGGAACACCCTCTTTCTTCTCCACCAACAAAAAAGGTTCATTTCTTTACATGTGTCATCTACAAGATAATTCCTTCACTCATTTTATCTATTCTATTTCAAAACCTTTCTTCTTTCTTCAACAATCTACTGATCCACGCTCATTATTTTCCAAATATGTTTTAAAGCATTTACGATATTCTAGAACGATGCGTTAATCCTCCGGAGGGTGAACGCAGAAGGTAAGAGCTTGCTATCAAACTTTTCACATAATTTGTGTTGATGTATTTTTAACCTACGATGCTTGATATACAACTTAGTTCATTTATTCTAATGTTGCCACCTTTGATTTATCTAATACCAAATTATTGAACCTTCTTGTATCTTGAACAGAGTTCCCAGCCACGTTGATTAACACACTCAAATTTCAAGAATTTTCAGCAAGAAACTGTCTTTCTTGCTGTGCAACAAGAGAAAATACCTTGTTGATGGGAGGAAGAGGATCCATGAGCATGATTTGGGACATTACAGTGGAATATTGCTCATTCAAACCTCTCAAAAATCTCACAGCAGTTTCAGTGTTTCTATGCTTGTTGAGATTCATGAGAGCACCACAGGTGCACTTTGCGTTGCATGATGAGAGCATCACAGGTGCACTTTGCGTTGCATGTGCAGGTGGGTATAGGATCCAAGATTTCAAGCTCATCCCATAAGGTTTTCATACTCGTATAATACTTTGTAATTGATAGATCACCTTGCTTAAGGCTATAGATTTCTTCTTGAATTTCTGAAATTCTGAAAAGATCTGCATGTGATATAGTCTTTCCCTTAATTCTGCCCAAACCTCTGATGCTTTGCTTCTCCATATAATTGATTGGGTAATTTCTGCACTCATAGAACAAACTAACCATCCAAGAACCATAGTATTGCGGCGCTGCCGGAATGGACGAATAGAACTATTGGCACTTGGTTCTTGAATGCTTCCATCTATGAAACCTTCCTTATTCTTTGTCAACAATCTCATCATCATTGATCTAGACCAAGTATGATAGTTGGTATCTGTAAGAGGTGGAATGTTGAACATGCTGTTTAAATTGTTGAGTTGTGTTGTTGAATGTGAGCTGTTGATCACTAGGACTAGAGGAGATGTTTTTGAAGTTGTTCATCCCATTGTGTGGATTGAGGAAGCTGTGGTGCTCTCAGAGCCCAATTTGTTGAAAACCCTCCTTGGGAAGTTGTTCCTTGGAGTGGTCATTGTGTTGTTCTCCTCTAGTAATTAGTTGGTCCCGTGTGTGGGCAAGGTTGAGGCACACGTGTACAAAGCGACCACGGTATAGGGGCCAGGTCGAGTTATACCGATTACAAGCGGCCAATTGAGTAAAGTACGAAGTCGGGAACTTAGTTCCTAACTAAGTATCGGAAGGTTGTGGTATTTGGAGGATAGTCGGTAGGCTAATTCCATAGGTGGCTTAGTTAAGCTAGCTAATGTCGTGGTAGGCCTAAAACCCAGCTGTTCTATCTTGACATAGTACTATACTTCCTTGTTTAAGTGGCAAAGTCTGAGAAATCGTGAAGTTGTGAATTGATATCCAAATTTGTTGTTTACCTAGCAAATCCAAAAAGGTTCTTTGTTGTCGGTTCGGTAGGACCTAGTCACTTATACTGCTCACCCATGTTGTAGGAGATCTCCGAGTTGAAATGCATGACGACGCATAAGCTGTTTGATGTTGATTTTGCTGATTGATATGAGTTGTATATGTGTAACTATAATATAGTTGTATGCTGTTATGTGTTGTATGTTAAATCTGTTGAGAGTGATGATGTGCTGATAAGTTGAAAGCTGTTTATAATTTAATTATATGCTGATTCTTTTCACTAGCTTACCCTTGTATGTTTCCATGTGGGTTGGACTGCAATGATCATACTGTGTATGAGAGCAGAGCAGGGATAGGCTGGAGTGTAGTAACAAGGCTACAGGTGATAACAAGAGCTGACTTTTTGTTTATGGACTACTTGGTGTGGCTATTTTGTAGTTTTGGATACTGACTTGTTGAGCCCTAGGCTAGACTTATGTATATATAATTACTCTTTAATATGCATACTCTATTCTGTGTGGTAATGTTTGTTGTGTGACGGCTAGGCGGGTCATTACAATAAACATACATTAATATGTGTAATTTTTAGTTATATTTTATTTTACTAAAAAATCTAATTGTATTAATAAAAAAAATTAAGTCAAATTATTCATATATTATTTTAGATAACGATGTTATCAATACAAAATAATGACAAGTTTTAATTGGAGAACCTAGCTAATTTACTTTTAATGGAATACCCTCTCACAATCATGTTTTTTCCTATACTTATACATTTAATACTACTAAACAAAATATGTTTATATATATATATATATATATATATATATATATATATATATATATATATAAATAGAATG